TCCCACCCTGTGCTGGATCGGTCCAACAGCACTGTGTGGAGGATAGCGGGGCGCAGGGAGGGGTTGCAGGGTGCAGGGGAGGGTAGCGGGGTGCAGGGGCAGTGGGGTGGGGTGCAGGACAGGATAGCAGGGCGCAGGGAGGGACAACGGGGTGCAGGTTGATGAAGCCCACTGGAAGGCAAGTAGAGACACAGCTCATCCACCCTGGTGCCGCTCTGCCCACCCCTCCTACCCCTTCACCCCGCCAGCTCCTGGTGAAGCCAAGCTGGGGTAACTGGGCACTGGTACTCGCAGGGGAGGCCCAGCCATGCCGAGTGCCTGCGGTGTCTCCCAGCAGGGCTCACCCCACCGTGGGGGACGCAAGGATGCCCGGGGACAGCGCGTGGAGGGCAATTCCATCCTCCGGCTCAGGCTCCCCACTCTGTCCCCCCCAGTTCCCATCACGGCCCCAACACCAGCAGTGCCCAGGGCCACGGGACCCCAAGGGGGCACGTGAGAGGGGGACAAGCCAGCAGCAGGCAGGAGGACCTCGTCCTTGTGTCCCCCCTCAATCCCCAGAGCTGGGTCCCACAGGGCGCTCCCACCCCACCCCAAGCTGGGTGCCCCTGTGGGTGCAGCACAAATCCCCCAATATCCATTTTGAGCCTTTGCCAGGGAAACAGGAGCCAGGAGCAAGAGGCCACGGGGCCAGGCACCATCAGCCCCCGTCCTTACCTGCCCGGGGACGCGGGGGGCCCACCCTTACCTGCCCGGGGACGTGGGGTGCCCACCGCCTGCATAGAAGCGACTCGGGGTTGCAGACAAGCCAGGTCAGCCGTATTTATTGAGAACAGTTGTGGAGGGATAAAAATATTTCCACTACTCTATAAGAATTTATAAACCTATACTCTGCTTATCCTTTAATAAATGCCTCTATCACCGTCATGCGAAGGTAGGTACTTCTGTAAGAAAATAGCGAGATTAAAAAAAGGAAAGCGCTAATACAGCCCGCGGGGTGCTGCCCGTGGGGTCCCTGCCCGTGGGGGCCAAGGGTCCCTCTGGCTGGCACGGGGACATGGGTGGCACATGCCAGACACTGCCCCAGCACCCTGCAGCACCCACCCCAAGCCTTGGCCAGATGCAGCCCCCATCAGCCGAGCCGCCTGGATGCAAACCCCTCGCCCAGGGGTGATCCCGCCCAGGGGACCCCGGCTCGGGTGGCCCTGCCTGGGAGGGGACACGTCCCTGTGCCAGCAAGCTCCCAGTGATCCCACTGCTTCCAGTTCTCCCTCCACCCTGAGCCTCGCCGTCCCCTTTCGTCTTTCCCCATACCCAAGGGGGAGCAGGGAGCTGGGGGGCTGCTTGGGTCCATCTCCCCAGGGATGCCCTGCGGCCGCTAGCCGGGAGGTGGGGCCAGGGCTCGCCCCGGGGACACGAAGCGGTGCTTTGCCGGGAAGCAACTCAGATGGGGACATCCTTGGGGCATACAGGGACACAACACAGTGCTCTGCAGGGCAGCAACACGGCTGGGGACATCCGGGGGGACACAGGGACACGACATAGTACTCTGTGGGAAAGCAACGTGGATGGGGACAGCCTGGGGCAGGGGGGACACGCTGCAGCGCTCTGCAGGGCAGCAACGCCGATGGGGACATCACAGGGGAACACGGAGACATGCAGCAGTGCTCTGCTGGGAAGCAACATGGATGTGGACATCCTTAGGGGACACACGGGGACGCACAGTAATGCTCTGCCAGGAAGCAGCAGGGACAGGGACATCCTGGGGACACACAGGGACACCACAGACAAGCAAGTGGCACCAGGGGCCAAAATGCCGGCGGGGGATGATGCTGTTGCTGCAGGTCAGGAAGCACCATGGGCACAGGACAGCCATTATTGCTTTACAGGGCCAACATCAAGGGCAGGGGGCAGGCTGGGGACCCGGCCTCTGATTTGGGGTCAAGGGACTTTCTCCAGGGACTGTGATTCCCTAATGGTCCCTGTGCCATGGCCCTCCCCACCGCCCGGGGACACGGCGTGCTCCCAAGGGGCGACGCTTGGTGGGGACAGGGTCCCTGCTGAGGACACAGGGCTGGACACAGCCAAGCTTCGGTCCCTCCTCACGCCGGTGCTGGCATAGAGGCAGCCAAGGGTCTGAGTGCCGGCTGCCACCCTGGCCAGGCTGGTGGCTGCCCCTCCATCCACTTGGTCACTGTGGCCCCCCCGGAGCTGCTGTCC